AAACACCAGGTATGACATACCTACAGCAAATGTATAATCATTGGAAAACTTCAGGAAGAAGAAAATACATGATATCAAAAATAAAACTATATTTGTGTTTGTTTATTAATTTACTCAAGAGGAGAAGAAATTTTTCAAATGTGTGGCCCGCATGACATAGATGGTAAGCTGTGGATTACACTACAGATAGTTCAGAGTACGAACATGGTGTTAGATAATATTGAATGGCTGGTGAGAAAGTTATGCCCTGTTCAAATTTTTTTCATTCTTCCTAGTGAAGGGAAGTGTTGAAATCATATGGATAACGTGATCCATATGGAAGATCTGCTGTCTACTTTTGTTTTATAATATCTCTCAAATTTTTGAATTAAAGAAATGTAAATATTAACTGTAAGGTTGAGATTTCAAAGGACAATAAAATAACAATTTACTCTGACATCTATAACTTAGAAAGAGATAACAAAGTTCATATCTCAAACTAAATCCTACATTACCTGTCTCTCCACCCACATTATTTCCCACATGAATTATGAACAAGGAACCATATATGAACAGTGGTCTAATGGCATGAAAATTCTAGCCAAGATACCCTGCATCCTGGACTTTGAATCTAGGCTGATTGAATCATAAATATGGCTAACAGAATAGTCATCTATACAATATCAGTACTCGGTACACAGGTCACAAAGCTAATAAATGGCACAGTTACAACTCTATATAAGGTCTTTTATTCTCATTACTATATAATGTCCTGAAATGTCAATGGATAATAAGGTATAGTCTTTTCATAAGCAAAATCTGATACCACTTGAATCCTCAACTGATTTTAATTAATAAACTCAAATATAAGTTTTCTTAAATGGATAAACAATAATATTTTCTATACATAAATGCATTACCATACATTGGTGTTTAAAAAAAAGCATTACCAACTTTCACTCTACCTATTTTCATTTACTAATATACAGCATAATCATATAAACATAGTACTAAGCAAAATAGACTAAGCCCTGAAAATGTAAATGGTAGAATATTCTCCAAGGAAATAGCCAACCCAAATGTTATGTAAACAGAAACAGAAACTAAAACAAACATGAATATTTTTGTTCTAATGGTAGCCTAAAGAAAGAAAAATGTTAAAGTTCTACATTTCTTACATATTGTTATTATACGGTATGTAACACTCATTCTTCTCACATACTGCTATAAATCTACAACTAGTTTTTGCTTGTGTGTGTGTATATGTGTATGTTTATGTTATTTTATTTTTTGTTTCTAGAGAATTAAATATAGTGGGCAAAGGATGAGGGGAGCAAGTATAACATTTTTCAAACAACAATGTCATGGACTATTAAATTTTTTACTCTATTTCTTTAAGAGAATCAACTACACAAATTGGTTCTTATTAAAATAAATATGTAGTTTCTCTTTGTGACAAACTCAATTATAAACCTCACTGGGCAAAGCTATTTTCTCTTATGGCTTTTGCTACAGATCAATCCAAAGTTTGGAATAATTTGCCTGCCTCCTGACTCATTGTGTGGACTCCATTTCAGTTTTGTGCAACAAAATTTAAATATCACAGTTTTCTCTATTATTAAGACAGAGAGAAAAAATAACATGACATCAGCAAGTAATGTACATCTTCTTGGTAGAGAGAGAGACAATGCCTGAAAGGTACTGAAGACAGTTACAGGAAGACTAAATGTGTTCCACTTAGACAGTTTAATGATTCACATGCAGCTCATTCATTTCTTTGTAGAGAAGCTAGAGGACAAATTCTATGGATAGGCTCTCCTTCAAGGGCTTTATTCAAACCAAAATATTTCAGTAGAAAAGAGGCTCTTTATTTATCTCTTCATACACACACACTCACACACTCATACACTCTCACACACACACACACACACTCACAGACACACACTCACACACTCACACATAGATATACTCACACGTACGAAAATGACATTGACAGAAATTGGCCTACACTCAAGCAATGAGGGGTGATGCCTGCATCCACAGCAGAGATTACCAATCTCAGATGCAGGTCATACCAGTCGGGCAGCAGAGAGCGCCACAGCCCCAGAGAGGGTGCAGATAGCAGCCCGTCCTCCTTCCCACCTGCTAACATAAAGATACATAACCCCACCCTCCAAGCATCTAAGACAGATTTTGTGATGTCACATGTTAGAAAATGTCTTCACTGAATAAGTGTATGTATATACTGTTTTCTAATATATAGAATGTAGTACATCATGCTTCCTGCATATACGAGCACAGAACTTTTCTTCCATGAATTATCTTGAAATCATGGGACTAACATTTGCTAAATGTGATTCTCTCTTTCATCTTTATTATTGAGAGTATTACAGATGTCCTCTCCCCGTTTTTTCCCTTTGCTCCCCATCACCTGGTTCCCGCCCTGCCCCAGGCCTTTACCACCCTATTGTCTGTGTTCATGGACAAGGCCTATATGCATATAAGATCTTTACTAATCTCTTCCCTTCCCCCTTTCCTCTGAGATTCGTCGGTCTGTTCCATGTTTCCATGCCTCTGGTTCTATTTTATTCATCAGTTTATTTGGTCATTAGATTCCACATATAAGTGAGACAACATGGAGGGACCTGGAGATGATTATGTTATGCAAAATAAGCCAGTCAGAGAAAGACAAATATCACATACTAAATGTGATTCTAAGTGCAAGGTAATAAAAATTCTGCAAATAACTAATTTGCATGTAAGTAAATTAAAATAGTATGAATAATTTTATTATATTTCTAGTCACCAGTATTAAAGCTTTCTCCCCAGGCCCATTCCAGGCTTTCTATCCTAAATGTTGACAGAATCCTGACTCTGAATATTGTCACATCTGCTTTGAATGAACTCTCATGCAAAGTGACAACCTGAGAACTGAGACTCCATGGCGTCAATAGGACAGGTTTCATTAACTGTTTTGTGCTTTATTTGCTAATGAATGCATAGTAATTGTAACATGTAGCAATAACCTTCAATATGAAAATGTGTTATTCACATTAATACACTAGAATACCAGAAAATGTTATGCTTCAAATTAGCATAGAAAATATAACACTATTTATGTAAACATTAAGAATGCTATAATCTATTAGGTACATATTAATGAATGCTTACCAATAGGGTAAAAGTTAAACAGAAAACATGTGAATGAATCATAACCACATCTGGCTTCAGGACAGGTGGAGGAAGAGAAGGAAAAGGTAGAGGTGGGCTTTAGTTGCTATTGCTGGGATTTGGGTGTTTAAAAGAGATCTCTTAGGCCAAATGTTAACATCGATTTAAAATGGTACATGGTGCTTACTGTATAACTTTCTGTACAAGTCGGTAAGTTTCAAATGCTTTATAATTTAACAGGCACTTCCTTTAATTAAAAAAATTCTGATCCTTATATTCCTATAGCTTGAGTAGACTGATTCAAGTTTCCTCACCAGGCATTTAAGAGAAAATCAAAACACACTTTAATCAATTCTATCTTTTGGTTTGAGCATGTTCAGTGTTGGGGAAAACATGCTGTGGAAAGTACAAAGCTACTGTGGGAAGCTCAAGTTCCTCTCACAACCTCCAGGTAGTGTGATTACAGCTAACACATTAATTAAAAATAAGTAGCCAAGCAGCAGTTTATACATCAAAACTCCTCAAAAGAAGCAAAAGAGTCTTAACCAATTTAGAAGCAAGACTCTCTTAGATGGCACAGAATTCTAGATAAGGTGAAGGGAGATAGGAAAAGAAATCAGGAAATGCAACCACAGGGAGGTGTGATGTAGAAGAACAAACAGTGGAATCCAGAGACTTGGGGCGTGAGTAAGGCGTTGGCCAGAAACTCCCAGGCAGAACAACTGATGAAAATAATGTTGCACTGGGAACTGGCAAATGTGAAATCTAGCAAATGCATTTAACACAATTTTGTCTAAGAAGCCTGAAAGTCCTATCTTTAACTTAGGCAAACTTTGTCTTCTCTAATCAATTTGCTAGATGATTATTTTTTATTTCCCCAATCAATGCTAAGTTTGGTGTATTCACCTATAAAATAGTCTCAAATAAATGTTTAATACGTGTTCATGAAATAAATTACACCTGACAACTATTGTTCGCTTCTGTCTAGCTTTCAACATTTTAAGATAGGATAAAATATATTAAACAAAATGAATATGTTCTCCATTTTTGCAATGTTAATTAAGGAATAAATGTTGTAAATAAAATAAATGATTTGAAGTGAAAACATTACTATTTCAGAAACAAATACTAACAAGTGATCACTGTCATCTATTAAAACAGAACAAATGCTTTCATTATTTTTCCTATATTTTTATCATATTTAAGCATTAATATTCATTGAATGAACGAAAAATCATATGAATTTAAGCAGAAAAATTAAGTCTAGAACAATATGAAAATAGCATTTTGTCATTTCTATTTATTAAATGCTAATATCATGTACATCCTCTAAAATAAGATAGTTTTATCCTATCTTTTTTAAAATCTATATTCTAGAAATATGACCTAATTGGTTTGGCTCAGTGGATAGAGCATCAGCCTGCAGACTCAAGGGTCCCAGGTTCGATTCCGGTCAAGGACATGTACCTTAGTTGTGGGCACATCACCAGTAGGTAGTGTGCAGGAGGCAGCTGATCTATGTTTTTCTCTCATCGATGTTTCTACCTCTCTATTCCTCTCCCTTCCTTTCTGTAAAAAATCAATAAAATATATTTTAAAAAAATAAAATAAAATCTATATTTTCAGAAATAGTTTTGACTTATACTAAGCAATACTTACTCTTTTGCTTTACCCCTCCTTTCTTTTTACAAAATAGCCAACCTGAGATTGTTGATTCTGGGAACACAGAGACAGACTTGCTCATGTAAGACTTCAGTCTCATCAGAATTGTGTTCAGATTCATTGCACCATGGCCATCTCAGATGATGACAAAACACAACAGTTCAGAGCCACAGTCACACAACACTCACCACAGTTGGCTTCGTCTGATGCGTCTGCACAGTCCGGATCCTCATCACAAACCCACAGCTTGGAAATGCAATGCTTGGTAGTTTTACATTGAAAATAGTCTGGAGAACAGCTGTTTTCAGCTTAAGAGGAAAACACCTATTAAAATGCAGCTTTGGACAAGTATAGTTGTGGGGTGGGGATGGGGCTGGGTAAGAGGTGGAGATATTGAGCAAAAAAGGATACTCTATATAAAAAACAATTAGACAAACAAATGCTTAAGGTAGTTGAAAATGTATCATCTTTTAATTAATGAGGCTCTGAAAGTGAGGAGTTTTAACTTTTAACTATAATGTATTCATGATATCTTTCAGTAGAAATAAATATAAACGTATTTCTCCAATGATGTATTTGATAAAAATCAGAGTTTTCAAAAACAATCCCACCTAAATTAGATTACATTTAAAAACTATCTTTATACACAAACAATTAAGGGAGTTTCAGAATAATTTTTTCCAGATAAATAAATTTTAAATTTTATATATAGTCAGTTTTATAAATGAAAAAAAAATTACTAAAATTGAAAGATACTAGTCAATGAAGAAATAAAAAGCACAAAATTACCAAAATCTCTAGTAGTGTTGTCTTTTAGGGGAGAGGTGAACATCTGACTTAGACTGTAAACCACATCACAAATCCTAGTGAGTTTAATGATCAGCTGCTAGAATGGCTAGCCATAAAGACCTGGGGCTGACTATTCTGAATGCATCATCTTAATCAAATTGCTGGATGACTGCACATTATTTACTGATAACATTTTTAGAGGAATAAAATAAAACTTCCACAAGACAGGAATGTTCACAGCATATCTTGAAATCCTGAAACCTGACAGGTGCTCTATCTATCCTTCAGAGCCTCTGTGTGTGTGTGTGTGTGTGTGTGTGTGTGTGTGTGTGCGTATGTTCGTGCAGCAGCCTGCCTGCCTATGCATACGTATGTAAATTGTTTTCTCTTTCACTTAAAGTAATTTGAATTTAGGCACTTGATGGAAATAAGAGGTGAACAAAATGGAAAATATTTTAATATTGTTCTTTGAAGTAGTTTGTTACGTTACATTAAATAGGGTCTTATTTACAGTTTTTAACAAATAGTTTTTTTGTTATTTTCCCCAGACTTTATTTCTTCTCGTATGTTTAAATATATCTTATGGGGATAGGGGGAAGCAACCTCTAATTAAAATAGAGTTAATTTCATGTGACTAACTAATTATTAGAAAATTACCTATACCTACTTACTATGAGCAAAAAAATAAATGTATGAAACAATTCCATAATCACCTATAATGCTGTTTTTGCTGCTTCTCTTAAGAATGAAATGAATGAATGAATTTTGTTTAATTATTGTCACAATCTCCAAGTAGCTTTTAAGTAAAGATGACCCATGTTTTAATTTTCTTCAATTTCTTCATTTAGAGCTTATTAAATAACCCATCCCAATAACCAGTAAACAACTGTATGGAATTACATGGCACAGTTGCTATTATATATTTCAACATTGTATAAATTTACAATGCATAATAATAATTTTTAGACCAATTTCAGTTGGAGGTCAGAGGTAATATAAGACAGAACATTCTTAGGTGACTTACGGCAGTCCTTTTCATCTTCCTCATCGCCACAGTCATCTTGGCCATTACATCTGAGGTTTACTGGGATACATTTCTGATTCTTGGTACACTTGAACTGACCTGAGAGGCAGACATGTGTATCTAAAAGATAAAAAGCAAAATTATTAGTGCCAAAACTCGGGTCTGCATTTAAATCAGTGTGGTCACACCCTGGCCAGATATCATTAAGATATGCCAGGGTTGTGGGTTTGTTTCCGGATCAGGGCACATACACTGTACAAAAATCAACCAATGAATGCATACATAAATGGAACAACAAATTGAGTGATTTCCCCCCTCTCTCTCAAATCAACAATAAAAAATGTCAGTGTGGACATAATCAGTGAAGAATTAGATCCATGTTCCTTAGTTAAAAATTAATCACCTACCACAGTTGAGTTCATCAGAATTGTCTCCGCAGTCATTCTCTCCATCACAGATGAAAGCAGGCAGAGCGCAGAGCCCCGTTCCACACTGAAATCGGCCTGGCTGACATTTAAATTCAGCTGGGGGAGAAAACATACAGGTATTGTGGAAGGACAATCTTAGATCATGATTCCTTAAACAGAGCTTTTCTGATGCTCAAGTGTTCATACTATTATTATAGTAAGCATATCCCAGAGCACAGTGGGAATATCTCACATCGATAGCCATCGGGTTCAGACGCACAGCTACACTATGAACAGCTCAGATTGCCTCAAGATTACATTTCAACTAAAGTTAAGAAAGCAATTAGCAACCTATGAATATAAATGTATAGATTAAAAAACATAAATGACTCCTTTCTTCAAATAAATGAGAGAATTTAGTGACAGAATAGAATGTCTTGTAATTTTAAAAAATAGTTACTCCAATATCATTTTTTAAAATCATTTATCTTTGGTCACTTTGCCACCTGTTGTGGTAAGAGAGGAATATCTGCCTCCAAAACATACTTCCCAGAACTACTTAAAGCAAATGCTACCTATAGGTATCACATTTTAAATCAGATTTATTTATATTCATTTCTATAATTGTATTAATGTAAAGGGCAATGTCATAAATACTAATGATTTTTATGTTCAACACATATTTTATTATAGTAAATAAACCCCAGATAATAGTTGATTTTATCTGCTATATTTTTGAGTTTACATAAGGAATAATAATAATGAAGTAAGATTCATTAAGTATCTACTAAGGATCAGGCATTGTGTGAGGCCCTTTCACATACAGTAACTAATTGAATCTCATCATAAACTTCTCACCTCAACATCATAAGCACTTTTATAAATGAGGAAATTAATCTTCATGGACAGAAAAGTTTCAAGTGTCAGACTCAGAATTTAAATCCAGATCTGACTTTGAAGTCTTCTCACAAACTATCTTGCTGGTAATAAAACATTTTTTTGACTGATGATCCTAATGTATGTTACTAATCATTGACTTTGAGATTAATAGAAACTAATAATGACTTATTAATTCAAGCCAATCAAATGTTGATAAATTATATATTAAATTTTTATGGAAAATAACATGTTTATAATTATGACATTAATTAAACATGTTCTTAACATTTAAAATATAACTGTTAATACATGCTGACTTCGATAGAAGTATGTTCTAAAATGTTGAGTCATGTACCTACAATCTATAACATTTATTAAACACACTCAATGTTTCAACTGTGCTATACTTAATTTTCTCATGCTCTAAACATGTTCATTTCCTCTATTTTCTATTGCTTCCTGTAAAGTTTCCTGTAATATTCCTTTGCTACTGAAAAACCCTCTCATAAGAATGAGGTAAATTCCTGCTTCTACGTCTGGTAAAGAACTGGGAAGCCTCACTGACTTTTAAATTTGCCTCTAGAATGATCCATGGTGAATTCAAATCTCATAGGAAATGGAATTACAAACTCATGATGCCAGAGAATTTTTGATGCATGTTTCCTATCTACATTTATGTAAAAAACATTATGTAAGTATGCAAGTATGTGAAACTGGGATCAGGCTTTCCTGTCTTTTAAAGTGCAAGTATAGGTATTGTCAGTATCTCTTAGTAGCCCCCAATGTTGATGATACAGCTATTCAAAAATGAATTCTATACACTCCACATACTCATGTACATCATTTCCACCTCACCATGACTCTCAAAATTAAATTATGCCTACAGATGTTCAATGCTGTTAACCCATCAACTCCAAGTAAGAGATCATTTATTACAAGATCACAGAGACCTGGTTGATGTGGCTCCGTGGCTGAGCGACGACCTATGAACCAGGAGAAGGTCTCGATTTGATTTCCTGTCAGGGCACATGCCTGAGTTGCTGCTCAATCCCCACTAGGGGGGTGCGGGAGGTAGCCAATCAATTATTCTCATCATTAATGTTTCTATCTCTCCCTTTCTCTCTACAGTCAGTAAAAATATATTTTAAAAATCACAAAGATAATGCCACCAATAAGAATGTGTAGTATTGGTATTTAACCAAGATAAGAGGTTTTTAGGTATCAGATGTCTCTTAGGTTCCCTTCAAAAGACATTAAAGTTTTGTTTGCTCACCATACAGTCTGACTTTTCATAAATTGTCAGTACTTAAATGCTGCAATCCAGTCAGTGAATAAATGTGAACAAAACTCATTAAACTAAATGTGTAGTTAATTTTTGTATATCAATTTGATTGCAGCATGAAATTTTAGTCTGGATTAAAGTAGAGTTCAGGAACTGAAACTATGTTAGAAGGGAAAGCACTGGTGTTAATGACTCTGTGCAGGGCATCATGGTGATATTTCCCAGTAAGGAATCTGGTTGGGAAAGGTCATGTTCACATGAGGACTAAATTAACACATTTATGTGTGTTTATTTCTATAAATGACATGAATCAGTTGTACTTACTTTATTTGCTATATCGAGAGAAAGTTTACCTTATTGTGGGGAAATTAATACCTTTCTTTAAATGAGTAAACCTCAATTGGTACTCAATATTTCTTATTACTTTGATATTTATTTTAATTCAATAACTTAAAAAAAGAATAACTCAGCTATAATAGTATATCTATCCCATTCAGATAATACTTTTTATATGTCATCTCTCATAATAAAAATAAAAACAATATTAATAAATCTAAGAACAGAGGATCTTTCAGAATCATAAAAAGAATATTAGAAAAGCGATGACTTTCATAACATTTTTTCTTCCTATTGAATATATTACTTGCTGCTTTCAAACATGTAAATGAGCTATGTGAAAGGACTTCAAGTGAGCAATGGAATACAGCTCGTGTAGGTAACTATCTAGTGACTGTGAGTTTGAAACAGCCTTGTAATTATGTGGTGGGAAATCTGCAGAAGGAAGCAGCTAGCTTTCACTATGACAGCACATTGTCCTCCTTTAGTGCAAGCCTAAGAAGAATCTTGAACGGAAATGTCAAGGCCAAATCATGGTAACCATTCACTGGGATGTTGAGGGAATTATAATGATTGACTGCACAGGTATCTTCAAATTGACAGGACAGTATTGGAATGACCCATGGAGTGAACTATACAGGCTATCAAGGAAAAGTCGGCCGATTGTTCATTACAATCAAAGTTACCAAAGATAGCTTTAAAAAAATGCCAATCACAGTCAGATGTCCAGACATACCTAATTGCTTGCCACTTTAAGGCAACTACTAAGAGCATACTAAATTGCCTAACTGAAAACTAATGAGCTATATTGGAAAAATCTGACTTTTCATAGATTTTTGGTATTTTAATACTGACAGGAAAGTGCAAAAATTATATCCGTTAATGGTAAGATTTCAGTCATTGAGTGACATTGAAAACTTCCCCATTTTTGTCTCCAGATTGATGATATATTGAGTCAAAATCATGCTGATTGTTACTGTTCTGATCATTACATTAAGCAATGTAGTTATTCCATAAGTGAATAAAATTAGAAAACTAACAAATTGCTGATGCTGTCACACTAAACATAGTAGTTACATATATATACCCAAGAAATTGCAACAAATTTCTGTTGTATTTTTAAATATAGACATATAAAATCTTTCTTTATAATTTTGAAAAGGTATCAGAAAGGGATTCTGTAGCTGTAGCTTCAAGTTTTCATGTCAGGGATTTAAGGAGCTCTAAATTCTAAATTCCCACATTCTTTAATGTACTCACGACAATCATCAGGCTCATCAGATCCATCACCACAGTCGTCCACGGTGTCACATTTCCACCAGAATGGAATACATTTATCAGTTTTGCAGCGAAACTTAAAAAAAGAAAGTAAGGAAGTTGAAATCCTACTCGTATATAACAGGCATTTAAAAACTCACCAGGGCAGAGCAGGCTAGCCTAATCCCTTGTGGCAAATGTGAACTATGGTGGGTTTAGAGAATTCCATGGCAGGGAATAAATGCACAACAATCAGCACCAAAATAATCTTCCAGGAAAGCACATTGTCCAGGTAAGCCTCCTGGGACTGCCTGAGCACAGAGGAGATCACCCGTTAACATATTGTCTGTGGGTGCTATTGCACCAGACAGAGTTAGTTCACTGATTGCTACAGAGACCATGTGGCCAACAAAGCCTGAAATACTTATCATCTGGCCCTTTATTAAAAAAGTTTGCTGAACACTGGACAGGGGTAAAAATTTTTAGGAGGAGTTACCTAGTTAATTTAGATTAACCTAACTGCATTGTATTTTCTCAGGAATCTGGGACAATTCGATTCACATTTCTGTCTCTGTTCCTTAGTCAGCAAATGAGGAGGTGAAGATAATCTGAAGGACCCTCTCCAGCTCCATTATGCTGTGTTTCCATGGAATTTCCTGAACATTCACATACTGTCTTTGGTCATCATGAATATCTGCTCTACATAAATCTTAAGAATACTTCCTAAAGCAGGTGAGAATGACACAGTTATTGTCAGTTTATAGAATGCTTAGTTAATACACATGAGCATTTTGGATAAATAAGAGAGATTTTTGATAACTAGAAAGCTAAAAATAAGGCTGCAATAGGTATTTCTGCTGACTTTTAAAAAGGGAAACAGAAGAAAACTGCTATAATAAAACTTGTTCTTATAATTATTTAAAACACCATTCAATAAGTTGAAAAGGTTGCATGGCAATACTTACCTACAGGCTATGTAGCATGTGGGTAACGTGTTGCTAGTGAAAATTTCCAGATTAATATTGTAAGGAAGGTTATGTGAACTGAAATTCATCCCCTGAAGCAGAGTCTGGACTATTGCTCCCTTTGCTATTGGCCATATGTACACAGAGATCAAGAAAGCTCAGTCAATTCATTCCTTAGTGATCTCAGACCACAAACTAATAATCTCTTTCTTTGCAACATTCAGTTCTAGGCTTACTCTGATTTGATAAAAGAAATAAAAGAAAATCAAACTTTCCACACAGAGAGCACATATACCTGAAATAGCTATCAAAAAATTCACTTTAAATTATAAAAACCAAGCAATAGATCATGTTTAGAATATTTATTGCAGCATTATAATTTTTCTTCTGCATTTTAATAGGAATTCAGTGAAAAACATCACAGTATTCTTCTGAAATTAAAAATATGAGTTAATTTTCTAAACTTTATTTTCTTTTAAAGTGTTTCTGTTGTAATCCCCACATGAGTTATTAAAAGCAAGGTGGCATTTATTGAAGCATGTTATATACCAGACACATTTGCAACATAGAAAAATATAGCCTAGGTTCAATTTTCTCTAAGGAAAATGGATTAGCACACTAAAAGTTTTGTTCATTTAAGATACTGTTACTTTCTTCAAGTAAGAGAGAATTGGATGTTAATCTTTGCTGCAAATGTCTGGATATCACGGAGTTGCTTCAGAATAGATTTACATTATTATTATTTTTTTTAATAAGAGGGTGGATTTGTTTTTTCTTATTATTTCCAGCGACAATACTGGAGAGCAACAGAGCAATGTTATCTCAGGGGAAAATCTGACCATTGGAGCAATTTTTCCATGTTGGCTTTGTCTCTGGTCATGGCTGTTGTGGCTTTCATAAATTATCAGAGGGGAAATATTACTTTTATGGATAGTGATTATCTGGGGGATATAAGGTTAAGTATGAAAGCAATTGCCCTGAACATTAAACGTTTCCAGTCATGTCAGTATAGCAAAGTACATTAGTAAGAAGATTTCAGTTCTCCTGGGTATATTCAAAGTCTTCCCAGTCAAGATTTGGAAAAAAAAAATCTAAAATTCGCATTTTTAAATGCACTAATATGCCTGATTTAAATAAACACCTACTGTTGCAATTACATATGATATTATGGTTTGTATACCATTTCAGTTTTAATAAGATTATTGAAGGTTTTGAGTTAAGAGAGGCTGGGGTAAAACATACTTCCATTATATTTTATGCTAGTCAACATTTAATTCATTACTCTCAGAGGAAGATGTGTCTCAGCTTCATGACTTCATTTTTTTTTCATACTTAAATACAGTAACTTTAAAAAGATTAATGCTAGCCCTAGTTGGTTGTTCAGTGGTTAGAGCATCATCCTGTAACCTGAAAGGTCCTGGGTTTGATTCAAGGGCACGTACCTAGGTTGCAGGCTCAATTCTGCCTGGGTTGGGGCATGTGCAGGAGGCAACCAATCGATGTGTCTCTCTCACATCAATTTTTCTCTGTCTCTCCCTCTCCTTCTACTCTCTAAAAATCAATGAGAAAATATCTTTGGGCAAGGATTAACCAAAAAAAAAGGATTAATGCTAAATATAAATATAAAATATTCTTCATGGGAAATGTTCTCCAAGACTAGTATCTTATAAAGTAAATTGCAGACTGCAATTATCACTCAGCTATAAATAAACTACTAAATACATGTCTCCTAAACAGATACAGGAATAAAATGCAAATCCCACATATACTAGAGGTGAAGTTCAGTTAAAACAGGAAAAGTCTCGCCCTAGCTGATTGGCCTCAGTGGATAAAGTATCAGCCTGCGGTCTGAAGGGTCCTGGGTTCGATTCCAGTCAAGGGTGCATACCTGAGTTGTGAGTTTGATCCCCAGTGGGGGGAATGCAGGAGGCAGCTGATCAATGATTCTCATCATTGATGTTTCTATCTCTCTCCCTCTTCCTTCATCTCTAAAATAAATAAAAAAAATATTTTAAAAACAAACTTATCTTTACTTAAAAGATAAGTAAAGCCATTTTAAATTACTTTTTATTTTCAATTTAAATGACTTAAATTTAATATTTGAAGTTGTTATTGCTATAAAATTGGTTTAATTATTATACAGATTTTCTTATGTTTATTTTCAATTATAAAAGAATTCTTTTTTTAAAATATATTTTATTGATTTTTTACAGAGAGGAAGGGAGAGAGAGAGAGAGAGTCAGAAACATCGATGAGAGAGAGACATCGATTAGCTGCCTCCTGCACATACCCTACTGGGGATGTGCCCGCAACCCAGGTACATGCCCTTGACCGGAATCGAACCTGGGATCTTTCAGTCCGCAGGCCGACGCTCTATCCACTGAGCCAAACTGGTTTCGGCATAAAAGAATTCTTATTGGTGTGATTTACATACTTTATTTTTTTAAAATACAATATCATTTGGGGGCATATATTATTGGTTGCAATCATTAGATGATAACAAATCAAAATTTCCTAATAAGATGAATTCAAACTGCAACATTCATATCTGAAAACTTAATTGTCTGATTCGTAAATACTTAGGTTACTTACTTCATTTTAATGTCTACCTGATTAAAATGTGTTTATAATAAACAAATTGACTTTTTAAAAAAAAATCAGAGATAAAATGGCTACATAAACCACAAGGCTTATAAGGTTAACCACTAGGATTATATTAGCTGATGTTCATTAACTTTTTCTTTAAAAAATCAATAAAGCCCTATCCTGTTTGGCTCAGTGGATAGAGCGTCGGCCAGCAGAGTAAAGGGTCCCAGGTTCGATTTTGGCCAAAGGCACATGCCCGAGTTACAGGCTCAATCCCCCGCAGTGGGGGGCATGCAGGAGGCAACCAATCAATGATTCTTTCTCATCATTGATGTTTCTATCTCTCTATTTCTCTCCATTCCTCTCTGAAATAAATTTATATATATATTTAAAAAAACTATTAACATATTTTTTAAAAAGAGTAACTTAATTATTAAAATTTTCTGATTTGAATTAGTTGGTTTTCCAGTTCTAGCGGTGACGTCATGGAAGAGAGTGAATTTCTTTCAGCGTGTGCTTGTTTTTGAAATAGAGAGGCTAAGACAAGCTCACCCTGCCTCTCCAGCTGTGACTCTGAGCATCATACATTAAAGAACTGTACAAAGGGGAAGAGATGGAGCCTCTTCCAGGGAGGCAGTGCGTGTAGTGGTTAAAGACACAGTCTCTGAAACCAGCCCTCTAGTGAATGTGACCCTGACTTTGCTTTCAATTGGCTGGATTATGTAGGGTTTGTTACTTAACTTTTGGGCGCCTCAGTCTTGTCTTCTTTTAAATAGGACTGGTGGTTTGTGCAGGCGGCTGTTATGAAGATTGAGTTGGAAAAGTTTCTGGTGCATAATCAGTGTTATCACCCTTGCCCTCTAGTGCACCTGGCATGTACTTGAGGAAGCATGCAATCGTGTGGGCTGCCATCAGGAGGTTTTGATGTCTAGTCAAAACATAGATCACGCTGGCCAGGCCAAATTAGTCATTAAAAAAAACAAACAAAAAAACAAATTACAGCCCAGCCAGTGTGGCTCAGTGGTTGAGTGTCGACCTATTAACCAGGAGGCCAAGGTTCAATTTCCAGTCAGAACAAATGCCTGGGTTGTGGGCTCCACCCGCAGTGTGGGGAGTTCAGGAGCCATACAATCAATGATTCTCTTTCATCATTGATGTTTCTATCTCCTTCTCCCTTCCTCTCTGAAATCAATAAAAATAAAACACACACACACACACACACAACAGTTTCTTCGAGAATTTTTATCTGAAACAAGATACTGATTCAAATATAACAAAACCAAATTTTATAGTCTTATGACTATTGCCCAAAATTTTTAATAATAAAATCAAGTCAATGCATCTATCATTAAGCGTTGATGAAAATTTTAATTCTGGGATATACTAACTGCACATGATAACATTTTGAAGAAAAAAAGTTTTCAGAAAAAAATATTTAGATCATATAATCTTTTAATTTGAAAAAATCTATAAATCATTTTTGACACAATTCATTTTTCCATATCACATCAACTGAGGAAAGGGAGAGGGGTGGAGATGGTGATACAGAGGAGATCATCTAAGAGTCTTGTTTGTTTGTTTAAGCTGCACATAACTTAGTTTTCATCCTATGCTTCAATGACCTTGCTTTCCTTAAATACGTCACATCTCCTCGGATGATTCTGCTATGCCCACTCATGATTTGAAAAGTTATATTGTAACTGCTTTTTATTTACTCTGTAACTCTCTCTATGATGTATGGAATGATTAGCTAAAATTATGCAAAACAAAAAGAAATAATGTTTTGAAAAGTATTTACACACAAAAAAATTCAGGTAAAGCCTTTATAACAGCTTGCCCATACATCCTATGAATTGATTTCAAGATCTCCACTCACCTGACTGGCTGTGCAGTTGGATAAGCAAGTCCTGTTATCAACTGCAAGATAGAAGTTGGTGGGACATGCACAGGAATGAGTCCTTCCAGGGGCCAAAAGGCAGAGATGACTGCAACCTCCATTATTTATCATACAGAGATGTTTGGAAACTACAAATGAGACAGAAACAACAAGAAAACAGGATAATCAAGACCAATAATATAATATAATATTTGAAATAAGACATTTAAGCTTCATAATTTGAAATTGAATAGAACTTTGTAATGAAGAACACAGTGGTTATAAACATAATTTTACTTTGTTACAAATTCTATTGTTGTCCAATGGCATTAATTTTATCATTAAATAATTTAAGAATGCATTTCCACAAAAACAAGCATTTTAGTAGAAAAAAATCATTGTCCCTAAGAAAAAAACAACAGCAGAGACTAGAAGCATTTTGGATGAAGACATACATATGTTTAGAAATATTAATGTAAAATAAAACAATGTAATAATGATCAATAACTAACAGTGTAGTCATTTTGTTTATTAGACCAATTTTGTATGTTAAGCAACATAATCAATACTTTAATAACAACTGATAGAATTCCCATTAGACATATGCTTAAGAAAACAGTATATTTCTCATTTTTACAATCCTTGAGCTACTTAAATATAATTTATTTTACCCAGCATTCCAGAAACTAAGAATCCTGTAACTATTTTGTAAATATATTATTTCAAGAATTCAGTGTCTATTTCTTCAACTACTTGTATTATTGTCATTTCTGCTTAATATAATTCAACAAATCAATAACTATTTGTACTATTATTGAGCTTCCAATCATATTCCTTAACAATAGTGCTTTATATCAACTGAATTCATTCTATACAATTATGCTCAATAATAAAATCTCACAATATTTCTCAAAAATAAATTTACACTTAACCTTGGAGGAAACAAAAATGGAATGTTACTAAAAGATGTTGATGCATTTATGGAAATCATGGAAAGAATAATTACCATCGGGTTGTCTATAAGAATGATACACCTGGATATCTGTGATGGCATGCCATGAGTTAATCAGTGAGAGTCTGTCTGCTCCCGAGGTTTTATGGGCACGGCTGAGTGACTTGGTTTTCCCATCAGTCCAGTAGATGTAGTCTTCAAACAATGTTAGTGCAATCACCCCTGGAATGTCTTGATTAGGGACTGTAATAGGAGATGGTAAGATTAATGTTCGGTCTTGGAAGACTGCCAGTTAAAATATTCAATACTACATGGGCTGTCAGACACAACTGCTACAGAACTGCACGTGAATAATTGCTGTGACAACCTGTCAGGCTGGCAAGGTTCTTTATTACCGGTTAAGAGAACGCAGGATCTGGCACAGCAGTGTGCTTTGCTCACATTTAGCTTGGTTCGACCACTGGGAAGAAAAAGAATGCAATCCTGCTCACAAATAGTGGCTGCTTCGCCAGAAACAAGTAACATCCAACATTTAAACAGTGTATATATCCAGCTAATTCTAACTTAAATCCTTAAATCTACAGGTCATTGTACTGCTCTCTCCCACATTTAAATTGACTAAATTATATATCCAGGATGAAATTTCTATCTACCTACAGATAGAGTGACAATAAGACTACCATAAACCATTTTAGTCACTGAGATTTTATGAGTATTTTTACTTGCAAAATGAGATGGGATAGAAATGGAGAAAAATAAGTGTGACGGATAACAATGTATTATGCAGATTTAACAGCCATAAAATTGTTTAGTTGCAGGTTAAAATTGTTTTATAATTATACCTCATTATAGGACTGGGTTTAAGTGTAAACACTAGAATGAGCATTACAGACATGCATTTTTCTTTTAAGCAATTTCAGGGTCCTATCAGGTAAATAAGATGTAATAATTTTTTTGGTGGTTGGAGGTTAAATAATAAAAAAATAAATTCCCAAATTTGCACACACATTCCAATATATTCATCTGTATTCATTTTTAGGTCTAATTTTAGAAACTCAGAAAATGTTTATTAATTAAAAATGATACTGTAAATCAAGTAATAGGTACATTTTTATAAATTAATTTTAATGAACGAATATGTTTGACATCTGTCTCACTCAGTAGCAACTGAAAGCTATCAAAATTTATAACATAAATATTGGGTGTTTCACAGGCCTTACTTTTAAAATGTTGAATTAATTTATATTGTTATCTGGAAATAGAAATTTTAAATCTACTGATTTGTTATTTTTATTCTGATGGGACAAATGTAATCAGAGACTTCATTATGACTTAGAGAAAACAGAAATAAAAGAAATAAAATGAGACTCTTCCAAATAGGTGACAAATTAAGCCATTGACTATTACCAATAAGTAGGTTCTGGCCCGAAATCCAACTTAGAACAGACATTATGCATATAAAATATGTAAAAACTCAGGACAATCTAGATGTGCACATATGATACAAATACTCAGACTAAATTATCTGTGTAGTCCTATACACAGGGAGCCCATCACTAAAATGATAAGTGGGCTTGGACAGAAAGATGAAGAGGAGGACATTACCAGCATAAATCATGTTTGAGTTATTTATACAAACTATTCCCACTTTTCCCCTTTGGCTGTATAAATTCTTTTGGGAAGATAAAACAAATATGGCAAATGTGAACAATAGTATGACTCTTGGTGATGGGTGATCATTATAACAATCTTTCAACTTCTGTATATGTTTGGAAATTTTCAAAATAAGACAGAAATTTCCAGAAAAAGTTGAAAGTCTCAGAAACATTCAATTCATATTTCCTTAGATATGAAGAAGCAATTGCAACATTACATTAAATATGGGTCCAAAAAGTTAATCATTACTTTAAAAATTCTCAGTTCACCAGAGAGTCCACTGACTTCTTTTCCAAAAAGTGGTTATTGTAAGAATTTGCCTATTAGCATCTCAAAAATAGTCTTTTAAATACTCAGTAAGTAACTACAGTTCACGTTTAATAAGCACTTGGGTGCCAGGAAGTAGGCCAGATGTTCTCAACAATGGAAGAGGCAATTCCAGTCCCAAAGAAAAAAAATTATCAAGCCCAGATATTTATAGTTCTGCAGTTGAGAAACCCTACAGTAGAATAACCATTTTATACACCTCACTGTATTTAGTACCACAACTCTATTGTGCAATAGTAGAATACTGGTATCCTTATAAGAGGGAGATACCAGGGCTGTGCACATATAGAGAAAAGGCCATGTGAGGACATAGCAAGCCAAGGTGAGGCCTCAGTGGAAAATAAACCTGCCAATATCTTCATTTTGGGCTCCAGCTTTCAGAACTGTGAGGAAATAAATTTCCATTTGTGGGAACCACACCAGGGCCCCGGATAGTCAAGGCCAATGGGAGCACAGAAGCCTTATTGTCAATACACCGGAATGACCAAGGTCACTCTGAACATGAGCCTAACCAGGGTGCCCAAGGCCAAGATACCATGAATGGATGCAAGGACACATGGTACACTGTGCCCTTCTGTAGCCAAAATATGATTGATATCACCTTGATAACTAGCCTTCTTTGTCTCTGGAGTAATATACATTACTGACCAGCTAGTCTGCTAGAGAGAGAGCAGCTGGGCAGAGCAGAGGCTAGAGAGAGCTCAGGAAAGCAGAGGCAGTAGGCACAGAGAATGTAGCTCCTATATGTGCAGGAGAGAGGAGAGCTCAGAGCTGACAGCTGAGAGCTGATACTGCTACAATGGAAGGCTGAGCTCATAGAGAGCTCAGATATAGCTACCACGTTACCCAGCCAGTGTGCTAGGCAGGGGAGGCAGGAGAAGCTGCTGAGCCAGAGAGCTTAGGTACCACTGTGATGTGAGGTGGCAAGTCTAGGGGGCAGCATGCAGCTGCTCAGATAATAGCTGTCGTTACAGAGATTAATGCTGCTATGTGAGAAAGATATGTATTCACCAGCTGGTGTCTGGTTGCCTGCCTGTATGGACTTTTCTGTGAAGAATTGTTTGTCTGATGGCTATATGGCTTCTGGCGTCTGCCTCCAAGGAGGTCCAGCCCTAGGCAGAGGGGCTGAGACGCAACACCTATAACTAGTGAACAGGGGATAAAGGAGGAACTTGGACTAAGTTCCCAAAAGTTAGGACAGTGAGCAGGGTTCGAGGAAGAACCAGCCCAGGTGTAGTTGGGAAGAACTGAGAATACCTGGACTGAGAACAACTCAGAGAAGTACTGAGCAGTGCTCCTGCTGGCTCTGACACCACTGTGTCAGCCACCCAGTTTCTGGTACTTCATTCTGGTAGCCTTAGCAAACAAATATAAGTTCATAAAGCAATGGGATTAATGTAATAAACTCCATGTAAAAATCATTCTATTCAATTACTTGATTGCAATTACACTGTGTATAATATTTAGACATGGGACAATATAAGCACTGGGCAAGGTTATTACCTCTAAACTTGTAATGATCACCCACCAGAAACCCTCTGTTATCAGATAATCAATATTAATTTATGGAGTTTGTAAATTAAATTCTTATTTTAGAAGAAGTGAGGAGATAGAAGAAGAGGCTAGGTAGAGAGGGATGGGACCATGGGGGCTAGGAAGTGGAAAGCTGCAGATGTGGGCAGAGTACAGCCTGCTGACTATGTTCTGTTCCGAGAAAAACACAAAGTGACCTAGAACTAGACCCAACTGGGCTGGAAAGAAGGGTGCATGGGAGACATAAGCTTTGAAATGTATGGATATTATTGTGATATGCAGGTTTCAGATAAATAATCACAAGACAGTGGGGTGTATAACCAATCTCAAGGATGTTGCTAAGGCAGAATTCTTTGAAAGAGCCAATCAGAAGCGAGCAAGGCATGTATCAACCCTTAGACAAAAAAGCACACTTTTTTTTCCTCTCTCATTCTGGCATGCTAGGTTCCAGTGGGTGTGCTCTCCTGCACTCATGTGGCTTATGGCCAGGTGGGACTCCACACGTGGACTAAGACTTTAATTAGCTTTGATACTGAACTACACCCAGCTAGTTACAACATGGAACAGAAGCTCTGGAAACTAGCCTACTTTTTACTCTCCTGGAACCTCAGCTGCATCTTTTTCAGGCCTGGCTTCTCTCAATAAACTTTGCTTCCCTTAACCAATTTTGTCCGCAAATCCATTCTTTGGTTTTGAAAGACAGGGAACTCGGATATAAACCCCATATATCAGTTTCAGAAGGATGACACATAGGTGAATGTGCAGAGCATGCAGTAAAGTCGGGTGAAAGTGAAGAAAATCAGTCCCTTTGCCAAAAGTGACCATCTGTTTTATTTGATTCCTTGTTTGATATTAGTAATAAAGAATAGGATTATCTGTAGTAGCTTTATAAACCCACTGCAGGCCTGCTCATTTGGCAAACATGCTAATTTCTCAAACAGCATCTAACACAACCACCAAAGTGTTCCTTCTAGAACCAACAAAAACACAGTAAAAACACCAACTTATGTTAACAAGAAGAAATCTAGTCTCATATATTTAACTAGAGGCCCGGTGCAGGTCCCTCAGCCCAACCTGCACCCTCTCCAATTCGGGAGCCCTCAGGGGATGTGCTACTGACGGCTTGGGCCCACTCCCTGTCGTTCTCTGCTCTCTGTGGGGCCTGACTGCTCCACACCACGGGGATAGGCAAGCAGGCCCTGCTGGGTGCTGCCTGTGGACCCCACTTGCCTGCCTGTGGGTCACCACCCCCACCGCCCAGCAGGCCCTGCTGTGTGCTGCCTGCAGCCCCGTTTGCCTGCTGAAGTCACGTTGCCAGGGTGACGCCACCAGCATCCTGCCCAGCCACTATGGGCGCCGCCATCTTTGTCGTGGAGTGATGGTTAATTTGCATATTATTCTTTTATTAGATAGGATGTTATACTGTCTCCACAAACTACTGTCTGAGAGATGGTGACAACTTCCTTTAATATCACCACTAATGCCAACAAAAATTTAAAAAACACACAAAAGAAAACAAAACAAAAGTGTTTACATATTACCTTTTTAGGAGTTCAGCTCAGAACTTGGCAGTATCATTCCATTTCTTCTTTAGGCCCTAAATCTCTTCACAAGAGTAATTGACTATCTGCTTAAGCTTCTGTGAAAAAATTACTATATACTAACTGCTAGATGATCAGTATAAATAAATGAATCTGCGCTTTCCATAAACATATGAAGAATTCAAC